GATTCAGTGAAAGATACGAAAACCCAAAGTTAGAATTAGGATACAAGAATCACATGAAGGCATGGCAGCATTAACAGACCTCCAGCACCTCATCCTGTTCCCAAGCAAGTCCGGGACCATTGTACATGTTCTTGATAAGCAGTGTGGATGATTTATCAGGATAGAAATGGACTCTGCTACAACGCTGACCAAACCGACAAGCCCCAGTTTTCAAATGAAAAGGACAATGAGCTTTATCCTGTCATATATAAATGTACATAACTTAGGGATTATGGACTATGATCTTCACTGATGAACAAAATAACTAGGTCAAATCATGAAGTAAAAGAATTATTGGCAGAGATATGAAGAGTTATCAACACAGAAATGGATAATAATGAGAGAGAGAGAGAGAGAGAGAGAGAGAGAGGGGCATACCTGTTCAGTTCCAAAATGGGGTACTTGTTGAGCAACATTCTCAATCAGCTGCTGTGCTGACATTGATGAATTTTTATAATCAGAAAATGCTTCAGATTGCGGAGGGAGAGGATTTGACGTGGGCCTATCACAATCCTGTCAAACAAATGACAAATTCTACAATTTTAACTTTTTGGTAAAACCAAAAAAGCAAGCACACTGTAAGATGACCTATAGGAAAATATATATCTAACCAAAGTTCCAGATTCATGTTACGCACCTCCTTTCTACTTTGCTGCTCTGTGTTCCTCTTTGGAACCTTGATCCTTTTCTTCTTGACAATTATCTCATTTCCTTGCCAGATGATTTCAGCAGGCCCTTCTTCTATATAGTCCCAATCATCAACCTCATTACCGTCATTTTCATTTTCAACCTGCCATGCATATTGCAAGTAATAATGAAAAAAACATTTCTAAGACAATAAAGATATTTCCTCTCGAACTATTGCCAAACCAAAAGAAATTATGAACCATAATGCTAAAAAGAAGTTGATCTACCCTCTAAATAGCATTTTAAACAATATTTCTTGCTTCTTCTAGCAGATAATGCTTATATCTTCCCCGTCAAATATAAAAGAAGTGCTGACCAAACATTAGCAACATCCATTCCAGAAACAAAATATTATCGTCTCCAAATGAAAGACCATGCCTACTACCACGGGCATGCACCTATTATGTCAACTGACAGCAGAAACATCTTGCATCCCATATACAAGGACCACCACTCCACAAAATGGATTTATCAATGATGCAATTTGCATTAATAAATTAACCCCCAAAAAAAAAAAACTGTACACATAAAAGAATAGAATGCACAATCCACACCAGTCGTCATAGCATTATTTAGAATCCATAACAAATGTCCATGTGAGCTCTCACTTTACAACACTTACTTGCTAACCAAGCATATCCCGTAACCAAATTCATGAATATAATTATATTCGGAAATCCTACTCTTCCTGAGCAATATTTCCCCCTAACTATCATATTTCAGGCACATTCTGAGGAACCATACAGACCATAAACTAAATAAACTGAAAATACATAAGAGTCGTCAAAATCGGAAGAAGTAGATAGGTGAACTCTAATAACCACATCATGTGGTGGATCCAGGATTTTTACTCCATAGGGTCAACGTGTAAAAGTTCCTATATTTTTTTTAGGCGAAAATAACACCAAAAATAAAAATGGTAACACTTTCATTCATAATTTATGGTAAAACACAAACCCCCTTTCAGTACACATATTCATGTGTTCTAGGACTTTAATTGGCTCATGAATAGTTCCTATTTTTGTATCCATTAACTTATAATTTTGAACCTAGTTTGGGTTTAACACACAAGTTTACTGACATGGAAAATCATGATGATCAAGGGAACCACTACAATTTATTTCTTGTTGACATAACAAATGCAGCCAATCAAATTGACATAAGTGACCAAAATTTGATTACTTGGTTGGGTTGTCAATTCAACTTAGCAACCAATATAGCCTTCATAGACTAAAATGCAAGTCAAAACAGCATGTACACGGCCATGTCCACTTTGATTCTAATGATAAACAAAGCGGCACGCCAGGCTTTTAAAAAACAAAAAGGAAGCCAGCGCGCGCTGCTGGGCATAAAGCAGCGCACAGACAGCAGCAACTGGTTGGGGCATTTCGTCGAGAATTTGGTGGGCACCTGAGGGTCGCCCACCAACCTCTCAAGGGTTCATTAACGGAGCTTCTCAGGGAGTTTTCCGGCGTCCATGGGGTCAGGGGACCCCATTTGTCACTATGTGGGTCCGGCCCTCCACATGCCATCCTTTCCAACTTTCTCAGTAACCAAACAGACCCCAAATCCAAATATAAACGTATGCTGATGATACCACATAAGACAGAGAGGGATAAAAATTGCAGTCCAAAAAATAAAGAGGGATAAACAAAACAACCTGTTGTTTCCGAGACAATTCTTCTTCTTCTAGAGCCTTCATTCTCCGTTCCTCTTCTTCTTCTTCTTCTTCTTCTTCAATTTGTTTCTTCCTCTTAATCTCCATGGCTTCGATCCACGCTCTCTCTCGCTCCTCGAACAGCTTCCTCTCTCTCTCTGACCTCTCTGCCTCCTCTTGCTCCATCAGCTTAATTTTCATAAGCTCTTGAGGGTCATTGAGTATTGCCTCTTCTTCCTCTCGCTCTTTCAGCGCCATCTCCTTCCTCGTCTGCTTCCTCTTCATCTTCTTCATTGCCTTCCTCTTCTCCTTCCTATTCGTCCCTTTCTCTTCCGCTAAACGTTCCATTTTAGGCTCAGCATCTGCTTCTCCTCCTTCTTTGGCTACTGGGTCTGCCAGGTCCATTATCGAGCGCGCTTCGTTTCAGACGTCAATTTTCCGGGAAAATAAAATGCTCCAGAAAGTTACGATAGAAAGGAAATCGCGCCGTGTAATTCCCACATGAAAGACGAACGACACCGTTTACTCTTTTGAACTACCTTTTTGCACTAGTAGCTCACATAATGCACTTTACTGTTGCAATCATAAACTTGTGTGTAGGTTTGGGTCGGGAAATAACCCGGCTCGTTAACCGTACTGAACTATCGATAGCCCAAAATCTCTAGTGTTAATCAATGCTTCGGGGAGTCATTCTATTGGGTGGGACTTATATATAGCCTTTAGGTGAAGTTTTATCTCTTAATTATTAGATTAGGCTAATCAATTTGATCCAACGACTAACTAATTTAATACAACAATTAAGAATCATATATAAAGCCCTCACTATAGAATTCTTTATGAATACTTGAGTTAACGAGCTCACATATGGATTTGGGTTGGTATAATGAATTTTTGGTCCGTTTTGGTTCGTTACGAAACTTTCAACGGCCCAATTTTTGTTTTTTAAATTTTCAGGCTTGCGTCATGGTGCTTATTGTGTGAGTCTTGGTCCAAGACTCTTGGAGAAATAACATAGTTCGGGTGTAATTTAATTATTTATTTTTTACTAATTTTGGTCAGATTTGGAAATCTACAGAAGTAACGAATAATATTTAATGGATATATCCCAAGGATTGAAAAAAAACAAATATTTATCTTGTTGAATCAATCTACTTTCAAATATTACATATACAATGTATTAGAAATATTGCTTACCCATTGTTGCTGTGGTGTAGTGGTTATCACGTTAGTCTTACACACTAAAGGTCCCCAGTTCGATCCTGGGCAGCAACATTTTGTTATTTTCATAACCATTAATAATTCTTTTAACTTTATTTTATTTTATTTTTAATATTGGTCTGAATATTCCTTGAACTTGATCCGTTGAAACTCGATGAAATATAAGCAAATGTGTTTTGAAAAAAGAAAGAATTTCACAATAGTATTAAATGTATATAACAAATAGATTCATGAATATAGGTATTTTGAGTAAGGTGTTGCTTCTGTCTCTGCCTATTTCTCACACTAAAAAAGTCGTGATTCTTCTGCTGGAGCAATCGCCTCCTCCAAGCTGATTAAACTAGCAGTTTCAAGTTTTTCTACACTCAAAATATGCTGCTCAATTCGAAGGAGGGGACGGTACCGGAACCCGATTCTTCAGTCTGAGGGATGGCTCAAGTTTGTCGACCACAAACGGCTCAAAGTTGGTGACAAGATCGTTCTTGAGTCAGAGGCCAACGATTTCAGAATTAGAGCACAAAAGTTGAACAAAGAGCGTGATCAGTGGCTTGATGTTTAGCTACTTGTATGAATTCATGTTAAGTTTTTCTACACTCAAAATATGATGTATGAGTTTTCTATTTTAATTAATTACTTAATTATGATCTCGGGGATCGAAATTTGTAAGCTATCTCGATTCATCTAATGGAAGATTATGATCTAATTTGGTTAAATTTATTGTATCTTTTGCTTTCAACTTAAAGCCTTTCTTTGCCTGAAATAAGCTGTCATGACATGATCATAAAGTATTAATTAATTAACACTTAATTGACAAATAAAAATTTAAAAGTAAACTACTTTTGCAATTTGTTGTTTGTTGCTAGTGTTATATGTGAGGAAATTGAATGCAGAGAGAGAGGCTTCAAGGAACCTTCAAGAAAACTTCAGTGTGAATGTGTTTGAAGTAAATGGTAAGGGGACTTCAAGGAAACTTCTCCTCTAATTGACCCTTTTCTTTTACTTACAAAACAGGCCCTTTGCCGCACCATGTTTGTCTAAAGCATCTTCACATGGTAGATTTTTTATTTTATTTTTTGGTTGAAATTGAGTTTCATTCTATTCAAACGCCCATATCACATCAAAATGAACTCAAATAATTGAGTTCATACAAAATGCAATACAAACAGACATATGACTCACTACAAATAAAACTAACAAAATGCATAAAGTATACATAAAGGCATTAAGCCCACGTAGAGGCTAAGAGCCCACATAACGGCAAAAAACCCACAAAAGGCAAAAGCCCACAAAGCACAACACAACATTAGGAAACCCTAACACCATTAACAAATATATGCCGCACAATCCTACAGTCACAAGCCGCACCACCATAGCAAGCCGACAACCCACCAAGGAGAAACTAGTAACCAACAGAAAATGGTGGTGCGCAAACCACCAAAGCTACACCTAGTAGGAGTAGCGCTACCATAATCCAAGCAATAAGTGCGATTTGCACTTTAAGGGCATCCCAAACTCCAACAGTTCCACCGAGGATAGACAACGGAAGAAACATCTGTGGAGTCAAGGAGCCGATGATAGTGGTTAAGACCAACCGATGTGACGCAGCCTCCAACAATGAAGAGAGAAAATGCATTGCAGAAACTTGTAAGGAGCACCAGAAAAATAAAACCGAAGCCTTCACGGCCTAAAAGATGAAACAAATTAAACTTAAATAAAAGGAAAAAGGAAACAAACAAAAAATAAAGAAAAGGAACTGGCTCTGCAAAAACATAGGAGCAACCCGTGGAGGAAAATATTTAGGGGGAGGGGGTATGGAAGAGGGAGGAGAAGGTAGGGAAAAATGGGGTGAAGGAGAAAATCAGAAAAGAAATAAAAAATATAAAAAAAGAAGGAAATGAGAGGAAAAGAACAAAAGGCAAAAGCAAAAAAAAAGAAAAAAATGGAGGTAGAGATCTGGAAAAGAGAACATAAAAGGAAGGAGAGGAGGGGGACGAAGGAGAGAGGGGTAGAGGGAACCAGAGAAGAAGGAAAGGGGGAGAAGAGGGAGAAGAAGCCAAAACAAAAGAGGGAGGAGGGGGGGGGGTGGGGGGTGGGGGGAGGGGAGGAAAGGAGGAACAAAGAGGCAAGAAGGGGAGGGGAGAAGGGTCGGTGACCACTTCCCCCCGACGACACTAGAAGAGAGGTGGGCTAGGGTTGGGAGCTTTTCAGACTCAATTGCACCGCTCTAGCTCTAATCGTAGTTGCCTTATGTCACAAATTCATAAACACCAAAAAACCGAACTCATGCACTTCACATGACAGATCACCCTGTGAAGTATGTGATATAAACTAATTATAACATATTAAAATAAGTCATAAACTAATTATTTTTCAATTGAGTTTATTCTTTTTTACTCATGATGACATACTTATGAATTTCGCAATGATATTTGTTTGCTTTTTTAAATCTAAAGTTATTGTTTTAGACTCTTTTTTTATGAGAACTGTTTGACTTTTTTTTTCCCTTCTGATTTCGATATGTCACCTCATTGTAGCCTTACTCAGGTTCATTTTGAGTTGCTGTTTTTATTTATATGAATTATGATGGCTAGTTGTGGTTTATTTATATTACATTATTAGGATTAAAATCAAGAAAAAGTTTACAAGTTTTCTCATAGATTACAAGATTTTCAGTTGTGTTTACAAGGATAATGACATAATTTTACTCGTCCAAAGTCCATTCTTACCTTGGTGCTATGTATAATTTTCTTTGTAAATTAAGGTATTACAATGTTATGGATTAGGGTGGACTATAATGTTGTTACAATTATTTCACAACATTTGCATATTTTTTCATGATACATGAGTTAGGGGTTGCTTTATATAACTTGTAAGCAAAATCAATAAAACTTGGGTAACTTTATATAAATCCAATTGGCCAAACTGATTTTTTTATTTTTTATTTTTTATAACTTGTAACCAAATACAATTTTTGAACATCTAAACTATTCTTTTTGTTTTGTTATTTCTTAAATGTGAATAAATTACTATAAGGAACTAAAATACGACTATATAGTATAACTCGTTTACGTGTTTAATATCAATCAATGATAAGATATTCAACTTTTAAGACATAATATCAATAAATATCCACTTATATTATAATAAATATTATATGACATACTCTGAAGCCACACTATAATTACTTCTCAAGATGACATATTAATATATAAAAATATATATGTATTCGTGCTTATTCTAAAAATAATTTTAAACAAATGTCTTATAACAAAAGATGACTTATAGCATCATCCAACAAAAATTTCACTTACGATCCTTCTCTGTTTTTTGGTTCATATCTTTGTAATATAATTGGTTCATGTTCCGGTCAATAAAAAAAAACTGTTAAATAAGAATATATAATAATTAAATAATTAAATAATATATATGCACTTTATAATCAATATATATAATATATAAATATGATATTTACATATAATATATAAAATTTCAACTAAAATACTCAAAATTTTATATAAGTATGTAACATAACAAAATACTAAATGAGGTAATGAAGAGGAAGAAAGTGATTGAGTTACCATCTCATTTGCTTCTCATGTATGAAATTTTAGAATTCAAGCTAATTCTAAAATAATTTGAGAGAAATATCTTAAAACTAAAATTATATATTATTTCTTGAATATGACTCATAGCATATTCAAGAAAATATGCTTTTACAAACTTATTTCTATGCCTAAACAAATAATTTAATTTATTGTCATCCTCATATTCATGTTCCCACAAAAATTTCTCTTATGATCCTCCTCTTATTTTTGGTTCATATCCTTGTTATATAGGTTTTCCCTTTCCCGTCTATAAAAAAAAATTGTTTAATAAGAATATCCACTCATGAATATAGTATTTACATATAATATGTATAAGGACATAGATTAACGTTACAAGGAATTGGTAAGTGTAGACCTTAAGGACATAGATTAACATTACAAGGAATTGGTAAGTGTAGACCTCAAGGATATAAAATGGGGTCCTTATTCTAGTAAACACGACGGTTTACAAGACTGAAGACCGGTATTACAATAGTTTAGATATGAGAGTACCATAACATTGTAAGAGGATCCTAAAACTTATAAGTTACAATATTTGGATAGCGATTTACAAGCTTTTGAACCAGGATTACAACATTAGGGTTCACATAATCCATAATGTTGTAAGTACCTATTTATAAGGATATGGATCCACATTACAAGGAATTGGTAACTCCAGACTATGAGGATGTAAATTGGGTTCTTATTATAGTAAAATGAGGGTTTACAAGACTAAGGGCCGATTTTAGAATTTTGGGATACGAGGATACCATTTTTAACCTTGTAAGGAAGATCCAAAAACATGTAAGTTACATGATTTTGGTAGTGATTTACAAGTTTTTGCACCATGATTACAACGTTAGGGTTCTCATAATCCTTAATGTTGTAAATCTTTATTTTACAAGGATATGGATCCACATTACAAGGAATTGGTAAGTGCGGACCAAGAAGATGTAAATTAGGTCATTATTCTAGTAAAATGAGGGTTTACAAGATTAAGGGCCGATTTTACAATTTTTGGATACAAAGGTACCATAACGTTGTAAAGAGGATCCATAAACATGTAGGTTACACAATTTGGGTAGTGATTTACAGGTTTTTGCACTATGATTACAACATTAGGTTTCTCATAATCCTTAACGTTGTAAATCTTTATTTTACAAGGATATGGATCCAAATGATAAAGAATAGATAAGTTCGGACCATGAGATGTAAATTGGGTCCTTATTCTAGTAAAATAAGAGTTTACAAGATTAAGGGTCAATCTTACAATTTTGGGATATGAGGGTACCAAAATGTTGTAAAACGGATCCATAAACATGTAAGTTACACGATTTAGGTAGTGATTTACAGGTTTTTGTACCACGATTACAACGTTACGGTTCTCATAATCCTTAACGTTGTAAATCCTTATTTTACAAGGATATGGATCCAAATTACAAAAAATAGGTAAGTCCGGACCATGATGATGTAAATTGGGGTCCTTATTCTAGTAAAATGAGGGTTTACAAGATTAAGGACCGATTTTACAATTTTGGGATATGAGGGTACCTTAACGTCATAAAGAGAATTTCTAAACTCGTAACTTACAAGTTTTTGGTAACAATTTACAAGGTTTTGCTCATGGATTACAACGTTAGGGTTCACCGAATCCATAATGTTGTAAATAAGCCTTTTACAAGGATATGGATCCATATTACAAGGAATTGGTAATGGTGGACCTTAGGGATGTAAAATAGGTCCTTATTTTAGTAAACAATAGTTTACAAGATTAAGGGCCGATGGTACCTTAACGTCCTAAATATATATAGAATCCCTAAACTCGTAACTTACAAGTTTTTGGTAACAATTTACAAGGTTTTGTTCATGGATTACAACGTTAGGGTTCACCAAATCTATAATGTTGTAAATAAGCATTTTACAAGGATATGGATCCATATTACAAGGAATTGGTAATGGTGGACCTTAGGAATGTAAAATTGGTCCTTATTCTAATAAACACAAAAGTTTACAAGAGTGAGGACCGATGTTACAATTTTTGGTTATAATAATACTATAACGTCGTAAACAGAATCCTCAAACTTGTAAGTTATAAGATTGTATTTAAAATGCAATTGCTTGTCAATTACACAGTCCATGTTTGTCAATTAATTCAACTCGCCCATTTCGGGACTTCTGCGATAATTGAAATCACACGAACAAAAGTAAAAAATCCGAGAAACTATAAACACAAAAATTGAAAATTTCCCTATTTTTATATTTAGATTACTATTATAAAGACAGCTTTATCTCCAACTGTCCAAGTTCCAACCCACTTCATACTTTAAAGAAGAGCGGAAAGCGCCGAAGAGAGGGAAAGAGAGAGCGAGGGGCATTAGGTTCCCGACGAGACGTCGTTAAGAATCAGAATCCGAGAGAGAGACAGAGAGAGGCTGAGAGAGATGAACGTGGTGAGCAATGGAGGAGCCGGCGTCGCGGCGTCTCGGATTGTAGTGATAACGGGAGTGAGCAAAGGGCTGGGGCGAGCGCTGGCGGTAGAGATGGCCAAGAGGGGCCACACCGTAATCGGCTGCTCCCGTGCCCAGGATAAGCTCAACGCCCTCCAATCCGAGCTCTCCTCCGACAAACACCTCTTCCTCAACACCGACGTCGTAAGTAATAATTTGATTAATTAACTTGAAATTTGAATTTTGAGCAATTTATTAGTCATTATTTTTCTTCTTTTTTCATTTATGTCTTAGGCGTAGTTTGGTTGTTCTGGTGTGCAAAATGTGCTGCTGAATAGTTTATCTAGAAAATGCGTTTCTTTATTTGTGATACAGTTTTGATGAATTCTTGATAGACATGAAGCAAAGTAAAAGGAGAAGTATTGGTCAAGAGCGCAAAAAGGTTGTCCCTTTAAAACATGATGATTTCAGATGTTCCATTTTTATATTTAATTTATTCAGAAAAATGAGAAAGAAACTGAAAAGTCTTAGACAAATTCTTCTACTAGAAGATGTCTTTCCTGTTAGATTGTTTCATGGTAACAACAATTATCTAAGTAGTACATAATGGGGTGCTGCTTGGAAGCAAGAAAATGTGCATGAACATTATGATATAATGCTAAAAACTTGCACTTGATAAATAAGAGAAAAGATGCCCTCCACAAGAAAAGAAACAAATAAATGAATAAGAAATAGGGGCTGCGAAAAAACTTATTTTGATCGAATAAATTGGAACCCTCTTGTATGTATCTTGAAACTTAAGCTGTTAAAGATTAGTCCACATGTATGTGAATTGCTTGAAGAACTTATTCCTTGATGCTCTGTTTATAACCTGTACCTAATGCCTTTCTTGGTTATTATAATCTTTGAGTTAGTTGATGGTTTAAATCATTTACCAAAAAATACTTGTACAACACATGTTTCTCTATATTTGATCAATTAATGCTTCCGTTCTCTTCCCTCTTGCTTTTTGTGATTGTTTTCTTACTATGGACTCTTTTTAAGTTCCATGCCATCACATGTTAGTGGACACTACCCTGTAATGTATTAACATGAAGACTCAATGGAATCTGTGGATAGGTTTTTTTAAAGTGATAAATACTATTAGGCAATGTATTGTATTGGGTTTGAAGATGTGTGAAGGCAATTATATGCTTGTACTTTGGGAGATTTAGTGCATTGATTTAGGGATTATTGTCTTGGTATGAAATGTAGAACTGAGATTTTATACATGTCTGAAATCATATAAAAGAACTGACTAGTTGCAAACTTGCAAGAAATGATATAAAACTGGTGTCAAGTGAGATTCCTGGTTGGACCTGAATCTATGATCTGAAGGTGTCATAACTATTGTTGCTCAAAAATGTTTCATCCCGCCTGCTCAATCATTTCATAGTTTTTCTAACAAACTTGGAAGATTATTTTGACTCCTTTTTTGTTTTAGATTCCAGTAATTTGGTTTGATTTGTTTTTGTGTGTGTGTGTGTGCGTGCGTGTTATTATATTTATTTATTGGCAGAGGTCGAATACCAGCATTGCTGAGCTGGCACGAGTTGTGAAGGAAAAGAGGGGCATTCCAGATATAATAGTAAACAATGCGGGCATCATCAATGACAACAAGAAGCTTTGGGAGGTGCCGGTGGAAGAGTTCGACAGCGTCATTGACACCAATGTCAAGGGAATCGCTAACGTGTTGCGCCACTTCATTCCGCTGATGCTGTCGCGGAATGAAGGGAAGAACCCAGCAGGAATCATAGTCAACATGTCTTCAGGATGGGGCCGATCGGGTGCGGCACACGTTGCCCCTTACTGTGCATCCAAATGGGCTGTGGAGGGCTTGACCCGATCAGTTGCTAGGGAGTTGCCTAGTGAAATGGCAATTCTTGCACTCAACCCTGGTGTCATACACACCGACATGCTTGAGTCGTGTTTTGGAGACTCCAGCATGAAAAATTACCCGAAACCTGATGCATGGGCTGTCAAGGCTGCTACCATGATCTTGAATCTCACACCAGCCGACAATGGAGCTTCTCTCACTGTGTGACTATGACTATGACGACTCTAGACTTTACTGTAGTCTATGACTATGAGTCAGTCTATTTTGCTGTTATTTAAATGATAGATTTCAATTTCGCTTAGATCCATCTGCTGATTGCTTCCATTCTTCTATTCAGAGTAGTGTTTTTTTAAGTCCTTGCTATGTCATGGGCTGCTTTGCTTATTGTTTTGTTAGTTCATATATGGCGCCTAGCATTAGATAACTAACTAGATTTAAGGTATGTTGAAGTGAGAAATGGAGGCTAACTTTGAAATTTCGTCAAGGTTGAAAGTAGAAGATAGATTAGCCGCTGTACATACATTTAAGTGAAAGTAGAAGATAGATTAACCGCACATCCATTGAAGTGAAAATTCATACTTGTCTATATGTAAGCAAAAACACAACCGGAAAACACGAAGGGGGGATGATAGGAGTTCAAATATCAATAAGTCAAATCCACTCTAGGATGCTGCCCATTCAGTTCGACCTTGTCCAGTTCCAATTGTTTTCGGGTATAAATTATAATATCTAATTGGAGTCAGCCTTGCAAACTTATAATCCCAACAATCATTTCATTGGAAATTTGAAGATGTTTGAGTCCTTGACTTCTTGTTATGTTAACTAAAGCAAGCAGAAACAGACAACCTTGTAAAAAACAAAACTTCAAGTCCAATGCATGAGCTTCTCAAACAACAATACCCACATGTGAAAGTTAGGCATGAGTCCAAGGCAAGAAAATTCATTACAAAGATATGGGAAGATTAGAACTCAACTCACGCACAAGAGTAGAGTAGGCGTAAACATTCAATAAAGCGAGTGCATCTTGGTTGGAATTGTCACTGTTGCAAGCATTAGCTTGGTAGATTTTATCCTTTGAGTAAGATTCATGAGCTTAAACAAGATTATGATTATGATTTGAAGCCAATTAGAGAAATTTTTAAAATTTTCCTCATATTACAAACAAAACCGAACACAATGATCAAATTGGGAAAAATATATTCTCCTAATCTCACTTCTCTCTTCTAATTGATCGAGTCCATTGTGTTAGTGTGAAAATGTATTTGTAACCGGCGTAGCTAAGTTAAGCAGTGGGTTTGGGTTTAGTTTTTAAAGTTAAAAACACCTGTAATAAAACTTATCCAACAAAATGAAAATCATAAGGACGAATATATATCTCAAGAAATGTTGGCTGATCAAATGTTACAAAAGAAAACCAATATTATGACTATGTCACAGAAAAATGGAGTACCCGAATCGTAAATACACAAGTAGCTCGCACCAGATAGCAAACAAGGGGCAAGGTTACATGATCATGATCCATCCGAAAATGAAATAAGAAATAAAAACCAATAAACAACAACAGATAAACAAACATTGCCAAACAAAAAAATTTACAGGCACTTCAGCTGTTATAATAAGGTGGGGTGGGTACAAGGGCTAAGGGTCAAACTGGAGAAAATAGTAAAGAAGAAGGTTTTCTAGTTGGTATATGGATAGATAATCTTGCATATTCGGTACGTGAATAGGAAAGATGCCCTAGCTAGCATCCAATCCAATAGAGGGAGGTCGAAAAGAAGATACATGGTATGGTATGGTAGTCAGACTTAGACTTGATGGCTAAGGGAGCGACCGATAAGTCTGCATTGTTCTGGAAGCAAAGAAGAAATCACTTGCCCATTAAGTGGAAAAAGCTCTCCATCAATACCACAACCATTATGGCCGTGCTTTCCTGATGCCTTAATCTTCACTGACTTCACCTGCAACGAAAAACACCAAATTAGGAGAGGCCCCTATACAACTTAATCCTTTGTTTCTCCCAATTAAGCACCTACATAAAAACAGCAATTGAAAATCTTATGCTCTCCCATCCCCTGAACCCAACCACCACAAGGGAAAATTAAACGCAATCTGATTCTTTTGACCAATGGCAGAACTTGATGAAAAACAAATATGCGAACAAAAACACATCCAACCCCATAACTGGAATGTGAAATGCACTCTTTGGAGCTTCATGGTCTCAATAAGTACATTAGTCAAAATCCTACGTTCAAGGACATTATTGAAGTAAATGCCCATACCTTGACATTTTCCACATATGGCAGTGAAAGGTGTCTACCCATCTGCAGCAACATGAAAAACCTCAATAGCCTTAACCGCCCACTTCCATGAACTAGGAGCATATCCAAGGTGTTGTCATCATGCTCAGCTTTTGGTGCCACTACTTGGGAACTCTGAACAGTTCTGCAAGCATGATTGCAAACCAGAATACCAAGAAACTGACCCTTTGTAACAACCCATTTATCTTCATACCTAGGAACAACTTCCTTTCTTCCTGCTTCCACATCATCTGATGGCCCTGGCAATTCAATAGGATTTTCCACAACCCAATTAGGTTCGGTATCCCACTTGGGTTCAGCATCCCAAATTGGACCTGGATCGGACAGAGTAGATGATATATCCTCTCTATCATTTGTTCCAGCATTGCCCCAAGAAGATCTGGAGGCATCATGTGTGGCTGTCAATCCAGTCCATCCTTTATCTGTCCTCGACTTAGAGCGGGTCCTTGGCCAATTTGGAGTTGTTGACAGAGGTAGCTGTGGATGAATAACTTCTGGCTCTGCAGTTATATTGTTCCTTCCCATTGAAAGTCGTTTTGATTTAGGATCTAGGCCACGAACGTACTCAGATGGTTCAATGGTAGCATGATTGCCACTGCAGGTTGCATCCAAGTCTCCAGACATTCGAGTAGGAGTCATAATGGAGTCAATACTAGATAAACTCGAGGCTCGTGGAATCCCATCTGTGTTTGATCTCCTCATAATGTCTGTGTAAAGTTCTGACATGTCAACTACTTCCCTTTCAGCTGAGAGTTTTCCTTCCAGATCCTCGTTTAATGCTGGAAGATACTCAACTTCATAGCTGTACTTTGGTAGGCATAAGAATTTGAGAAAGCCAGCAACAAAATAACGCAGAGGACCAAAGCGCTTTTGATATTTCTCAGAGAGCTCCAACACTGCAACCAGTTCATGACGAATTAACATTCTAACAAAGCTAATTTCACCATACACACTTATCTTGATCAACACAAGTGGACCAAAATTAAGAACTACTGTTCTCTAAGTTCCAGCTCATCATCTATTAATGGACCAAGGGATCAAAATGCTATTAATATAATCCACAAGCCACAAGACACAACGTTAATGAATAACCAGGCTTTGGATAAACTGTCAAGCCTTACACAAGCACACACACAGAGGTCCAGATTCACAGGAACATTTTCTTATGTATACAGTATATGTATATCTATACAGTGGGCTTCAGTTGAAGGAAATTTAAAAAAAGAGTACTCATGCAACATTTACGGAATGGTTACAGATATCATATTCAAACATCTTTTTATTGGAATGCACACAATTAAAACAATAACCAAAAGCTAGGTCATTGGAGCATTGGAAGGTTTGGGATTCATGCCCAAAAAAAAAGCTTAATTTGTAATTGAAAGTTACTTAACAAATATAGAAAATTACGAAATACGAACATCACATGCCTCCACTAAATCTTCACAATTCTTAATACTTTAATATCCTATAATTCACTGTCATGAAGGGAGGGAGGAAGGGAGGCACAGGAGAGAGATGCAACTGGACTGTTCTTTAATACTATCAGTTGGATCTAGAGCGAGCATCAACAAACAAGACAAACATTAAATACTTGGAAAAAAATCAAACCATTCGATCCAAGTACAGTACAGTTTTGCTAAATCCAAAGACGGATAGATTAAACATGAGAACCACAAAGTCAGATAAAAGTATTGCACTATTAGACTTTATCCACCTAGTTTGCTGCTAAATATAGAGGAGATGGGATATTAGTTCATCACATTACAAATCAAGATCTAGATAGAACTTAATTCTATGTATCAGGAATTACCATCACTCACAAAACCATAATATGAGACTGTCATCCCAAAGTGAATGACACCAGTCTGAATCCACTCAACAGCAAAAACATCTGTAGCAGTAAGACCCCCCTGAAACCAACAAAAAAGCGCATAATTTCTACATCAATGAATACTATTTAAAAGTAACAAGAACCTTACAGATAAGATTGCAGTTGAAGGGTACTTTCATAACTCAAAAACTGGATGAGTAAATTAATGAGATCTTAAAATGTTATGCAATGCAGCAGATAAAAGGTTAAAAGGAATCGTCTTTGGGTGTGCCGAAGTGTTGAGTTTGTTTGTCTTCCAAAGCCCTTCAATGTATGTGGGGTGTCCAGTAGCCATACCTTATCAGTGTCATGCCTAATTGGCAAAGGTACAGAAGGATGAAGGGTCTATTTGATTAGTATTCTAGAACTAAGTGTTTTCAAAATATTTTACAGACTGTAACGAAGTGAGCTGTAATCTCTCTCAACTAGTTGGTAAGAAACTGATTGCAGCAAATTTAGGTAACTTTCTCCACACACACAAAACAAAGTGAGGTGTATCAGTCTGAACTAGTTGGTAGAAGCTTTTTTTATTTTTATTTTTTTATATGGCTAAAAACCTAGCTGGTAAGAAAATGATTGCAAAAAAGATAAATGAAACTTTGGATTAGCTTCTTTTTTAATAAAATTATTAATTAATTATATTTTTATGACCGTTCGAATGGTTGAACAACAGTTCGAAGAGTACACCATGAACTGGTTTGAGTAGTTTTTGTTTACAGACATGATGAACCCTAAACACATTACCTTGACAATGGCTATTGCAGCAGAAACTGGATCTCTAACTCCAAGAACAGTCCAAACTAATGAATTATCAGAACCAGCGGGTACAATTCCAATTGGTATGGAAATTCCTTCTTTTTGGTTGTCTCTACTAAGTAAACCATTTAGAACCTGTACACAAATCAAGTTCATGTAAATTGTTCAATAAAGAAAGAAGATAAAGCATTAATGCATTGAAGGTAACCAAACAAATAATAATAATAAAATGACAAACTTTTTTACTTTTCAAATTTCAGATTCATCTCACTCTAAAAATATAAATTAGAGCATTGATTGCTATTCTTCATTATTAGAAACAAAGATATTCGTCGAAAAGAAAAAGAAATTACAACACAGTGGACAACATAACAGAAAGAAAACCAATTAAAACAAAGCAAAAGAACAAGCTAAAATACAACAGTGCTCCAATCAGAAGAAACAGCATGAAAGGACCAATCCTAAAAATCCGAGAAACTGAAGCCCAGAAGGATGCCCAGAAACAAACTGTGTCCAACAAATGATTCACATCCTTCCTCCTAGCGCCCTAAAAATTATCCTATTTCTCTCTATCCAAGCAACCCAAAATATTGCTAACACGGCACCAAACCCCGTTTTCGTCCCTCCAAAAAACTTAGGCCTCCAACCTCCTCTGCACCATTGAAACATTCAGCACCTTCACATGAGCAAAAATCCAAGCCAGAACCCGTACCTTCAGTGGTACTTTGACCTTCAAAATTGCATGAGAGGGACCAAAAAGAGAACAAGAAGAATCATCCATTTGTTGCCCTGAATAGGACATGCACGAAAAGGGTCCTGACTTCCTACTCCCAAATTCTCCTACTGCCTAGATGACATTTTCCAGAACAGAACGTAACTCATTTAACATCCTAAGACAAAGGAAAAGATAAAAGGCTCAACATCCTATTATCTCCCAACATCCTGCTGTTCTGCGGCACTCTCTTCATGCTTCTCAATATCTGAGTTCTCTGCATTTTCTTTGTCCTTTACAATTTGTTGCAGTCCACAATCCCACAACCACTGAATTTCAATCTGCCCATTCAAAAACAATCATGGACAAATGTCAATTTTGCTTAAGAATTCTGTCAACACACCAAACCGAAAGAATCCTTTCATCATCCTCCTTTTCCATTACCAGGTCTAGATTTTCATTACCCAATGCACCACTTCCACATCAACCAACTCTTCTCAATTGCCCAACTCCTTATTTTACTCTTTGACAAGATCTTCAGATAATTCCGCCCTAGGACCTGAATACCAATGCCCCCTCCCTTAATCCAACTTTTCACTCCAAATCGTATGATTCGCTTCCTATTTTCCTGTCCTTCTACTGCTTCCCTTATTGTAACCTTCCCTCTCTTCTTCCAAGGGTGTTTCCTCGTTGCTCTCATCCTCTCTTCTTCATTCAGCCACAAGATTGAAGCTACCCTTGCTCTCTTCTTCTCATTTAATTTATTTCCCACATCTGGCAATTGAGCCTCCAAAAATAGGCAGGTTTAAAACCTTAACTCTTCTTGAAATAATGACAGATTACAGTAAATTAAGTTAGTTATTGGAAAATGTGGCTGGACATGTGGGATTCCCATACCCAATGCAAGCTTTCATTTTTTAAGCCATTGGATAATTTCAACGGTTAAGATATCAGTTTTGTGACTTAATGTTGCCAGATACCTGGCAATTACATGCATATATAAACACATTACAAAAAACCATGGGCATTGTCGGAAAGGGATATCAATTTGCAAAAAAAAATTGAAGGGCAAGTCCTCTACAAGAACACCCCTATTATTACCAAAGATTGTCAAAAAAGATAGAGAACCTCACAAAGACACATGCATCTGTGGAGAGGGAGGGAGAGAAAGAAAAAGACTCTAGTAATTAACTAATGTGAATGACCAATCTCAGACCATTTAATCTGAGGTTCACAGAGTACATTTGAAATACAGGCAAAAGAATAATCAGGTATTTGTACAATACTTGGTGACTAAGGAGCACCCAAGTGGCAAAGGATTTACCTCATTAATAATTCCGTCGCCCCCAACACAAATGATTCCTGAAAGCAAAAAATTATAAATGGACAAAATCTGTAAAGATGATGAAGAAAATCAGAATGCATGAGGAAAACCCAAAATAAGCAATGCAATCAGACAGTGCATTATGCGTAGTACCATCAGGACAAGTGCTGATGTCAACACTAGAGGCAAGTTTCCTAGCATGACCTGCAGATGTTGTTTTGACTACCTCCAGTTTGAAACCTGCAAGCTGTAACAGTTTACAGCTCCAATATGAATATGAAAATGAAGAGAAGCTCTAAAAGAGTACATAGCAAGCCAATGCAACCATCAAGGTCAAGTGTACAAAAAAGAATAATAAAGAACTGAATTAGATTTTGAGTTTATAATAGTTGTAATGTACTCTTTAACCTAGAATATACATGTTTGAGCTTATCCTTAAGTCTAAGTTTGACATATATGCTGCATGTAAAGGCTACAGAATCAAAGTTTACATCCACCGTGACAACCCTAGGAAGAAGTAATTTCATTCATCAAACATGTTTGTCTCTACTAATTTACAAAGGTTGTATTTGTAAGGGCCTAATCTTGCTAGAAACAGGAAAGTAAACGTAATCTTACTAGGAACAGGGATATAATAAAAACGAGAATCAATAAAAAAAAACAGAAAAACAAACATGCAATGGCACAGGCAGTTCAGTTTAAGAGTTATATCCATCAAATATAATTAATCCATCTCCTGAATGACAAAAAGCAGTAAAACTAACACAGAGAATTTAGGTAACAGGAAATACATCATACCTTAAATATAGGTTCAACGACAGCATGAAAAACCTTACTTGAACGGCCACGTCCAGATCGTGGATTTAATATGACAAGCATTTTTGGGGGACTCTTGCATTTGAAAATTAATTCAGGAGGAGTATCAATTGGAAGTAATTCTGAAGAAGCCTGCTTCTTAGAAGATAGCAACGGATGAGGCAAGCAATTCACATAACACTGCTGATCTGCAAACCCGCCAACCCACTGAACTGCCTCTTCTATGCTAGAAGCCAAGAATCGAAAGTCCTTCCGGCTTCTTCGAGGTTTCATAAAACAAGAAAGGCCACAGGAACCTTTTTTCAAGGGGTAAGAATGCACGGTGAAATGTCTGAGACCAACATTGTATGAAACCTGTGGAAGCAAGCAAAGAACAAGATTACCGTTTCCTAGCTACTTCATTCCAAAGGGGAAAGACTGACTACCTTGTGACTTGTAGATGTTGTAACATTTAGCTATAGGGGGAGGTTTGTGCTTACTGAGATAACATCGTCAAGATGCAGCATGTGAGAACCCCAAATTAAAGCCTTGCTGGTAAGCTTAGCATCAACAGCTTCCTGGTTGGTAATATCATTAGAGGAGGAGGAGGTTTGTTGTTGTTGTGCATCAGTAGAAGTAATGTTTATACTGCTGGTTTTGCTTTTGTCCAAAACTAATTTCCCGGAAAAGACAGCATAACCCAACAAATCAGACTTCTCATCTCCAGCAGCAGAAGCCGGAATGTCAATCCTGTGGTCTAAGGCCTTAACTATGTTGGGATCATCAGCAGGGGTAGGGGTAGGTGGAGTCTTGGAAGCTGCCTTGATCTTGTGCCGTTTCTGTTTCTCAGGGAAGACAATTGGGGAGGAGTGCTGGCCCCCAGTAGCAGTAGCTATTTGGGAGCACAATCCCAGTCGCCGAAGAGACTGCTGAGGCGTTGTCACTCTCAAATTATTCTTGGAATTGGAAACAATCCCACTATTCTGCATATTATTTCTTTCTATCTTTCTTTCTTTTCTTCTCTTTTGCTTTGTGTTACTGTTGATATTGCATTGAATTGCAAAAGGAGACTCCCACCCAGAAAAAGACACACACGCAAAGAAAGCAAGCAGGATAAAAACTCTTGGTAGGTAGGGATAGATGAGCAGCAGCTGGAGATGACCAGGTTTCAATCCCAATTCCTTCTAATTGAGAAACATAGATTAGATTACGCGGTAATTGCAGCATAAAACCACTAGATCAACCAGCCTGCATATTTATTGTTCGAATTAGACCTTAATTATTCATTTTTAAAAATAAAAAAATTCATCGAATTCAATGAGGGCAAATCGCCATTTCTACAACTGGGACTAGGAATATTGAGGAAATCCAAAACAATTACATTGCTATTACAATTACATAAAAATGATAACAAAATAATAATCGAGAGTCAACAATCCGCCGGAATTGAGGAAAATAAATAAATAAATGAACAGGGCTAACAAGGAGAGGGAGCCTTACGAGCTGAGCTGAGCTGAGCTGAAGCGCAGGTGATGTTGCTGAGCACAAGTGGAGATGGAGATGGAGATCTTTGTTTCGGAATACAAAGAAAGTCGCACAGTAATCAATCAGACCTAACTCCAGCGAGGGCCGCCCAAAGCATCCCGCTTTGCTTTCCTCTACTTTCGTCGGGGTCGGCCCCCAATTATCTATCAGTTTTTTTTTGTTTTTTTTTCTGTTTCCTACTATTCACCGGGGAACTGAAACGGAGCTGGCTCCCTAATACTTTATTGTGGGAGTCGTTCCATTTGGACCCGCAACTTTATTATTTAACAACATTTTCCTTCTTTTAAAAATAAAAAAAAAAAAAAAAAAACAAACAAACAAATTTTCTTTTATTTAAAGGTAAAATTGTTTCCCTTGTTCTGCGTTGGCGTGGGAAAAGCTTAAGAAAAAATATGAAATGTGTGCCTATATTGTTTGCTAAAGAACGGGCGCGGTTTGGATTATATTTTGAGGGATCATTAGTTTAATTTTGACTAAATTTAGAAGAGAAATCAAACCAAAACCAAATCATTGGTTGGTTTGGTTTGGCCAAAACCTGCTATTTCCTTTTAAACCATGAAAAGCCAATCAAACATAACCTATTTTTCAACTCCTATGCATTCTGTCAATCCAAAGACTTCAAAACATCAAATATTTCATTAGTTCTAAATTCCAGCACATCAAACATAGATTGTGCTCATCTAACATCACTAAGACATACAAGAGTTAATGTTTGTGCAAATAATCTCACGGGAGAATATTCGCTTCTAGATCCTTCAACCTTCGATCTTCCTTCTCTCTCTTCTTCGATTCCTGTAAAAAAGATTGGAGTAAATAGACCACACTAGGGGATGTTCGCCAAAGGCCCTCCGATGCATAAGTCAATTCAAGTGTTTGTAGGAAAACAATAGCTAAGCAAATGGTATGGAATTGTATGTATGGTGTGAACCGGGCAACCGGAGCCGTGTGGAGAAAATATGGAGAGAGGAGAGGGAGAGAGAGCTTCGGGTATTTTTCTCGGGTTTAGGAGTAGGTTTAGATGTACCTTGAATGATGAATGAGATCGTCTATTTATAGGAGCCTCAGGGCTAGGGTTTCATAGAGAATATGATGAGTTTATTCTCTACCCAAATTCGTAGGGATTGAGTCGGACTTGATTATATCTCTTTATTGAAGATAATATTTTATTTAATGATATTATCTTCTCTTTATCAAGATAATATCTGATTTAATGATATTATCTTCTCTTTATCATGATAATATCTGAATTAATGGTATTATCTTATTAAATAACGATAATATCCCATTAATTAATATATTTATCCCTATTAATTAATTTGTCAGATAAACTGGTTCAATTAATTAATTTAAGAGATAATCTTCTTTTCCACGTGGCGTGCCTTGATTGGAGACGAAAATATCTGCTCCCACAGTTAATACAAACCAGGATTTTCAAAATATACAAAACAAAAGGAAACAATAAGCAGCATGTTGTGTTGTGAAGCCCTTTTTGCTGCTATGGTCTTATTCTGGTCTTTCAATCCACCCATCTTTAAAACTCTAAATAATCTTAAATTACACCCCAACCCATCAATTTTCAAATCGTCTAATCTTCATCCTTAACTATTCTTTAACCCCGTCAGGATTTCACTATGCGATTCTCATAGCATCCTTAAAAGCATGAATCTTTCAAGGTGCTTATCTGGGCCTACCAATCTTCGCCCTATTTCGAGCTCACCATAGTTGAATAACTCAAGTTCTCAAATTATTGTTGGGTGGCCTTAGTTGGAGATAAGTGATGGTTTGTGGGTAAAAATTTATTTAGATCATTGGCTTCCTTTGCCTTTTACCTTTCAACATTCTTCACCTCCTTTTTTTTGGTGATGATGATGCAGTATGTGTTTTGTTAGGGTATGATGATTGTTGGAATCTTGAGCTTCTTAATTAAGTTTTTTGAAGGAGGAAGTTGCGGCTATTCTTTCAATCCCTTTATCTACAACTTCACTAGACAAGTGTATATGGCATTACACATTCAATGGGAAGTACATTGTGAAAAGTGGTTATTGGTTATTGGTTGTCTCTACATATCTAGCCGTCTTCGATCATGCGTTGAACATCCTCCAACTGCAACCCTTGAGATGGTGGATTGGCTTTACGAAGTTGCTCCTAAAAACTATGGTCAAACTGAACATAGGGAGGTTGCTGATGAGGTGAAAAACAGCCATAATTTGAGTTTTGAAATTTATGGTTAACATTTTGGCTGATTCCTTCACCAAAAGGTTCCTCATGACTTTTTCTTTCTCGACTTCGTTGTAGTTCGAAGATAGTTGGAAGTTATATCCTGTCTCACGACCATCTTTTCTTGGAGGACTAGGATAACACTTTCCAATCACTGCATATAGTTAGCGATAGTCTTCTCCAAGTAAGTAGATGACACATGAGCAAATCTATCTTTTTTTGTATCCATGGGTGGGGTCCTTTATTCAATGATCGACGAAAATATCACTGTAGAGTTCAGCATTCCATGGCCGGTCCTTCAAGTCCCAAATTTAGTCGCTGGGACCGAAGTCTCGACAGTGATGATTGGGTTTCCCTAGCTTTCACTTGTAATTGAAACCTCAGTTATCACCGAGTGTTAGGGTGGAACTGAACTGAAGACACACATATCACCAACTTCCAAATTATTGTTTCGCACAAATGTCGTTCAACATTAGAAATTTGGTGTTTACATGTTGGGCTTGAATGTTTACCTTTACTGCATACCCAATACGTGGTGTTCACATGTTGGGCTTGAATGTTTGACTCATATGTAGACCAACTCGTGTGGCCCACTATGTCGTGGTCCCATGTGAGGGGCCGTGTTGAAGAATATAAAGTCTCGTTTTAGAATATTGACTAAATAAACTGCAACTTATAATAAGTGCCCCACACTTACTGGGCTTTGGAAATGATTAAGTTAGGGATAATATCGGTGTCGCTAGTAGTGGGCCACTGGCCCATCCCTTTAAAATTCTTCATAGTATCAGAGCAAGTTGTCCACGAGTGAGAGCCCAACAACCACACGTGATCCACGTATCCCAATATATGTTCTCCACGTGTTAGGCTTGAAAATTTGTCATTCCTGTGGGGGCATATGAGAATGTGAAGGTAAAAATGTCCCACATTGGAAAGTTGAGAAACATTGCAATGGCTAATAAGATGTTAGGACACTCCTCCTATTGCCAATTGGTTTTGGGGTGGAACCTTGACTTTCTCCAAATTTGTGATGAAATATTGGGATGATCTATCAAATTTAGTATCTCTTAAGGTTCCTTGTGGTTCAACGTGGAGGATTGGGTGGTGAGGTATGGTTTGACAAAGATTGGGCAGACTTCTCTAGATAGTTACCACATTGAGTTTGTATAGCATTATTGGTTTTTTGAATACAAGATTAGAGATACATGTTACAATGTTATGGAACACTCAAAGGTCGTTTGGCAATTGTCAATCCGTCGGTAGGCATTTACAAAGTGGAATGGCAATTACATATTGCCTATTTATCGATTGCATTGCAATCGAGAATGTGCACCTTCATTACAACATTAAGGTTCACCCTAATCCTTAATATTGCAATACCCTAATTTACAAAGAAATGAACCCCTAGTACAATGTTAAGGTGAGCGTGGACCTTGGAGGAGTGCACTTGGTCCTTGGGCTTGTAAACACAAGGATTTACCACATTAAGGAACACATTTACACTACTATGGACATAGGCCTCCATACCCTTATAAACCCTATCCTTAACTTTGTAAACTACAATATTTGAATTTGCATTTATGAGACTTTGCACCTCAATCACAATGTTAAGGTACATCCTAATTTATAGCATTGTAATGCCCTAATTTGCAAAGAAAATGACCCATATATAGTACAATACTAAGCTAAGAATGGACATTGGAGGAGTAAAATTGTGTCATTATCCTTGTAAACACAATTGAAAATCTTGTAATTTATGAGAAATCTTGTAAATTTTCTACTTTTGTTTCTTGACTATTAATCCTAACAATGTACTATAAAATCCATGGCCATGTTAGGAAAATAACATAAATTTATAATACTTCTAGAATGTCCACGAAAATACAACCATGTAATATAGAGAGTTCAACAATTAATATAGTTCTTATTTTAGAAATTTGATTTTACAAATGCAATTGAATATGAAATAAGATATACAACTGCAATGTTCTTTTCAACCAATTATATAGACAAAATTCGAGGTGAAGAAATTTGACAGATAATGACTTCTAAGCTCTCAAATAAATATTGATGCGCATTCACCAATTCTATGAAACACAAGAAATAAAAATTAAAACTATTAGCCTCGATTCATTTTTTAGAAAATAAGCATAAAATACGGAGGAATTTACCACACAACTAGCCATCATAACCAACTCAAAATGAAATTGAATAAAGCTACAATGAGGTG